TCATTCTTCAGTAAAACTTGTCTGTTTTTTTTAATGGTGTTTTTAAAAGATGATTTGAACGAAGGCTGATCATTGCTGATGCTTGCAGAGGCTTCTAGATTTGTTCACCTTTTTAGGTGAATTTAGGGCAGAATGAAGGGCATTCAGGGCTCTATGAATATACAAACATGGAAGGAAAAGGCTTTTTTGTTGTGTGGTGTACCACAGTATGTGTTATCTTTTCTCTGCTCTTGTTTTTCATTAAAACATAGCTAATGACCTGGCTTTTTGCAGCTGTGTCACAGGTAAAAATGAAATGTAAATGAAGAGTTCCCAACAGACATTAAGAAATGAGCAATCTGAATATAAAGCACTTAAACTTCTACTCTTTTTAGTGCAGATATGTAAAATTAGCAACCCAATCCTATATCTGTTGCATACAGCTCTGATAACAATGGGAGGTATTTGGTATTTTCAGTTCCCAGTGAAGTCAATAGCAGCCAAGGGAAACTGAAACAAATCTATTAATACCTTACAAGATCAGACCCTGATACTGCCAGTGATTATATTCTGCATAAGGGTTCCGAATCCATAACAAGAAAGATATTTGTTTGAGGTATTTATAGAACTTCTGTTTGGCTAACCATCTGTGCTCTGATTGAAGTATACACGTAGTTCAGACTGAACAAAAAACTATTATGTGGATTAAAATAGTAACTTTGTTACATCTAAAGATTTTACTGCTAGAAGCTGTTGACCTGTTTACATGTAAAGGTAAAATTTAAAGTTGTAAAATCTGAAAAGTAGCATGAAGTTTGACTAGTCTGTCCACTTCAAAAAGGCTTTGAAGTTAAGGAATGCTGTTTGAATGCTGCATGCCTTTCAAAACTGCTGCTTGTTTAGGGTCTGGATTAAACTAGCTGCCTTCCTCAGTTTCTGAATATCTTTCAGATATATTTGTGAGTATAAAGGTAAGAATATTCTAGGGTATTTTGCCACACTTTCACTTGTCTCAAATTTTTATTCCAAAATGAAATCCATTCCTATTTTTGTTGTTCATGGGGTTCAGTACAATATTAGCAAAACATTACAGATTTAGCCAACTATAGCTTGGGGTAAATTGTACTGAGAAACCTCGCAGTGTTCATTCAGTTTGCTTCTTTCATCAAGATTATCTTTTTCTTGGATCAGTACGTTTTATATGTTCAAAATGCTGAGATTAGGAATCATAATGGAAAGATGAAAAGCACTAGGCTATGATAGGATTGGTTCAAAAAATATATATAATGGTCACTTATTGTTTATTGAAATTGCTCCGTAGGAAAGATTATTGAAAAGCAAATTTTTGGAAGCTGGTTGTGCTTGTGCAAGATGTTAGAAAATTGAAGTTTCTGATATTGCTTCACAAGATTAATTTTCTTTAGTGATAACCTCGGGAATTCTTCAAATTGCCTCATCTTAGTTGATGTAGCACCATCTGCCACATCTGCAAAGAAGATAATTATTTTTGGGAGCAGTTGTGGTGTTTTGTTGTGGGTTTTTTTTATTAAGTCTTGAGTCACCAAGGTCAGTATTTTTGGATTATTTAGTAGGAAAATAGAGGCAATTATTTTGCATTTTGGTCAATAATAAAGGATGTATTATTACAGTTAGTGCCATAAACCTCATAACTATTTACTACCGTCCTCTAATTTCCAAAAAGAGGTTTGCATTTTTCATCAGAGCATTTAGCTTTGTAGGAAAAAAGTATCCATCAAATTCATGAATCAGTAAGACAGCAGCTGGTGGCAAATAAGGGACTGTGGAGACATTTCTGGTAAAGGAAATATTAACGTGAAGATGGTGTACTTCTTAACACTAGGTCATAGGTTGAGGTTCCCAGCTTCAGTTTCAAAAGCTGAACTGTAAATTAGGATCTCTTACATGAGCCATCCTTTAACAGAGATTGCTTCTTATGCCTGTGGCCTGCAGTGATAGTTCCAAATCACATGAGCACATCTAAGTCAGATAAGCATTCTCCATCACTTGTCAGATGTGAATCCAAGGCAAGGTGAGAATTGGGACCAAAAACTTTCAGCAGTTTGCTTTATCTTATAGTGAAAAGGCTCAGATCTGTGCCATATGCCTTATAAGTCTTAAAAGACTAGAGCTTTGTATAAACTCTTAGTGTGAAGTAATGAATATAGTAGGTGAATACAGAGCTATCATTTGATGATGAGATGGCTACATCTCCACAGCAGTTTCTTTCAGCTTCCTGCTGTTGAGAAACTAATGAGAGCAGGCAGCTTCTCAAAGACAGAATAGTTTTTCTCTGGGGAGTTAATGAAAAGTAGGTTTATCTTACTGGATTTGCTACAGGGTGAAGGTGGCAGAGCTATATGGCCTGAGGAGGGTCTCTTGAAATATCACATACATTTTGAAACATAAAGCTTAGAAGGGGATAAAGAAAGAGAAGAAGAAACCTTGATCTTGGATAATTGAAAAAGAGATGATGAAAAGCCAAACCTGTGTTCCATGTTGAAAGAAAGGCCCATGAATCTGAAGGTATCTGGACAGAATCTTATACCCTGCACGTTTCTGAGTTATGGAAGACCCAGGTGTGTAACATTTATTTCACTCATCATGCACTTTTAACAAACTTTTCTATATTTACAAATGAAAAGTGGGCTTATTTTGGAAATAACACAGCTTTTAAAGGATTAAGATTTTAAAGATCTTTTTTGCTTTCCACATGACTAGGAAGACAACTTTACTTCTGTGTGAAACACATAATGTGCTACCCTTGACTGAAGCATCATCCAGAGAAAGCACAAATTTATTTATACTCCAGAACATGACTCCTCAACTATATTTTCCAGCTATGCTTTAATGCACTATTCTATTCTATTTGCACTGCTTAATTAAGGTCCAAAAAAGACCTTTAGTTAGTGGCCACACTGTCATCTTTGCTGCCTTTAGACTCAGCAACACTTGATTCACTAGAAGTTCACTAGAAGTTAAGTTCCCTGCACACAGTGTAACTGAGAGCAAATAGACATCATCAGCACATCAACTCCCTGTAGGGCAAAGCAATAGCAAAACCACTCAGTCTTTCTCTCAGTGAAGAGCAGGAGAAAACAATGGCTCTTGTACTTCAACCTGCAGGTCAGACTTAATTTGTAATTTACTATTAGATTGTAGAAGTGATGAATCTTATAAAAAGAGGCAGTTCACAGCTTCTTCTGGGAGTACTGAGCTCTACTTAGTACAGAGGCTGGAGTTAGCAAGGAGGGTACTTAACTTATGCAATATCTGACCCTCTGAATATGAGGGTTTATTTTTAACAAAGGTAAAACCAGAACAACTTCATATGTTTAATGTCCCTCATTTTGTTGAAGAACTCTGCAAAAGGCCTATAAAATGCTATTTTGCTTTGTTAAATGCCAGAAAAATTACTGCCCAGAAAAGTTACCATTTATCTAGATAATATGAGCAATACAGCAGATTTTCATAAACAGGCAAAAGTCTCCCTCCTAGGTACAAATGTTGCTCGTATCTTAGAGAGTGTTAAGTGATACCACACTTTTCAAGTGAAGTCAATTAACCTACTCGTCTCACTTGTGCATCTGTATTCAATCCTCCCATGCAATTCAGGAAGCTTTTCCCCAATTCACAATTAATAAGGGCTAAGTTAGTGTTATATTTTTAATTCAATCTTCTAATTCTAGCATACAGATACATACAGATACTTTTTAAAAAAAACAATAATTACAGAATAGCACCACACATATCAACAAAATTCTTATTGACAAAGTTATTTATCAGTGGAAGTGGATATGTTCATAACTGGTCCTAAGCAGTATCAAATAAAATATACATATATAAATCTTTAAGAGAAGGGTAGCCTTACTGATAGATTGGGGCAAAAACTAGAAGCAGCCTCCTTTTAACATATTGGCTTAAGATCCAGCAAAGGTGACTTATGAAAATGCATTTTAGTTTTTAATTGAGCATACAAGGAAATCGCACATGGTCTGTTAGCCTGTTGGAACTGATGAAAGATTATTAGTTAAGCCATGGTAACCTAGTTGTTATGGTCTATCACAACGCGTTCCATATCTTCTCATAGATGGCTTGCAATAAATTAAAAGCACTCTAGCGACCTAATTTTGGAAGCAGAACTTGAATGTGTAGGGCATTCTTCCCCTAGCACATTTCTGGAGAAATAGCACTTTAGCACTGTGTTGTCTTTAACTGTAATCACATCAAGTCCAGAAAGAGAAGCTTCAGAAAGCTCGTGACAATTTAACTGTTATATGGAGGGAGATCTTACAAGACTGTCCTGAGCTATTCCAAAATAAATGTGAGGCATGGTACCAACTGTATGTGCAAATAACTTGGCTGGGGGAGCTTGTTTCTATGGTTTTGTATTTCACATCTGCACAGTCCCAAAGCAAATATTGTTGCATCTGTTGCATATAACTGACTCTCAAAACAGAGTACGCGTATGACTTACCTTTGCTCTAAACCTAAAAGGTATCAGTCTATTCCATCTCACTTACAGAAGTCAACTGCTCCTATTGTGGTTTTTACATTTTAATTACTACCCCTTTACCTCTATCCAGGCAGGTAAAAATGCAGCAAGCTTTTCTTTTTTCTACCAAGCTGAATTAATGCAGAGAGAATTTCATTTGCTGCTACAAGATGCCTGCTTATGAAAACAAGCTAGTACCACTTTTTACAGCGGCATTCAAGACAGGCAGATATGATTATAGGCAGCCATATGCTATCCTGTAATCATCTAAAGACTCTGGTCTGATATTTCATATCCAAAGTATGTAACTCAGGAGAGTCTTCCAAAATGGAAAAATAAAGTAATAAATAGACTAGTAACATCAACAAGGAGAGCATAGACAGCTTCTTCTAAGTTACATCTCTTTACTGAACTGTATTTTGTTATCAGTTGAGGTATCTATGTAGCTGAGTCACTGGAAAGGTTTTGGGGTGTCTGTTTCTTTTTTGTTCTTCAGCAACTTTGAATCTCCGCTGATGCATGAAGTTCCAGAGCACCAAGGCAGCAGCACAGACAGTTCAGCAAGCAGTTTGGGAAGCTCTGTCACAGCATGTAAGAAGGTAATGTCTAAGTTTGTTATATTCAAAGGCAGACACATCCCAAGTTATAGCTTTACTCTTTAGCTTTTGTCTTTATTGGAGAACACAAAAATTAACCAATACCTAAAAAAGAAAAGGACTGATACAGAAAAATAAATTCAGGGGCTGTTAAGGTATCTTGGAATTTTGTCTGCCCGGTCTATGTTGGTCTAGTTCTAAAATACATTATACATTTATAATATCCTGCTGCAGATTTCTGTTTTTCCTCATTAACTGAGAATACGAAGTAAAAGCAGTGCATGGAACAAATACCTTCAGGACTGCTCTTCAATAGGTGGCAAGTTTCTGGGACCCAGTCTGAGGGTCCAGAGCTTTGCTTCTCTCAGGCCAATACAATGGAGGGTCCTTCATGGAACAGCTTCTCTGCCTTCCCTCGTATATGACTGGGAAGGTTTTCAGCAAACCAGGAGGTCATAGAGATTTGACTCATGCTGGTTTTGTTGACTCAAAATAGGTTTATATGTAGTTACGCAATTTAGAGGATTGGGAGGGAAGGATGCCTGTATGTATGTCATTAGAAGGAGCCAGATATGACTAACATTATCTTGTGCATGTAGATAATGTCAGTACAACTGAGCAGACACAGGTGAAGGCCATGGATGATTGCTTTTATTCCTTCTCTGCAGGGCCAGATTATTGCAGTA